ACATCTGACATACGAGGCGAGCGTGTTACCGCTACTCCACGAGCGCACGCTGGACTCATCCTAATTTTGACGTCCGAATAGGCGAACATGTTCGCGCTTGAGTGATGTGAACGGAATGCCCGACATCTCGAACGGCGACGTAGTAACAGACCTTGGTTTTGTCGATCGATTGGTCCGCCAGTGTGGAAGCGCCAAAGACACGTAACCTGCTGGACACATTTTGTTTCAGGTGTTGGCAGTTGCGGGATTTTTGTAGAATGCATACTCACATGACACCCTTTATTATTCGATTGACTATATCCCCGTATAAACAATTTGAAACTCGTACCGAAGGTCGCTACTTTCACGCGTCAGTTTCATTTTTTTTCAGAACAACCTAAGTGTACAACTTCTATATGCACATGCCCAGCACTTTTGAAAATCATGGCGTTCTCTTTTACGTTACAATTATCCTGAAGCCCGCATGCAAAAGAATGTCGTTGAGTTAATGCAGTTCCATGTGTTAGTGTCTGACCGGCTGTTTACGGTACATACGTGTGGTTTAGTATCTGTGGTAGGTGTATGTTCGCGCCATAAGCTTCACAAAAAGACCTGCGTGTCTGTGAGCCCATGTCGTCGGGTATCTTAGTCAAAAAAATCGAGCGCACTTTTGAATTTCGATTTTGGTCTGTGCAGGACGGTAAATCTGGAGCGAAAGGTGCTTCCATGACTCTTAGCTGGTTGCAACATGATTTCGAACAAGCGGTCCAATTGAATCTTGGCTATCTGATGACAGTGTGCGTTATATTTAAACCACGAAGGACCTCGATCATTCGATAGAAGTGGAACGTTTTTGGAGTAAACTACACTGAAACACACGATAGCATACGCTAAATAACTTCAGCGTTCACTCTTGTGAGTCATGTAGCAAAGCAAACGGGTGAACAGAAGAATTACCGTTTTTCTTCTGATGTCTGATGCACCCATCTAATCTAATACAGTCGCCCGTCAAGCTATTCTGAAACTGGTGGGCTGGATAGACTATGAGACGTTATTATTATTATTATTAATATTATTATTACATTATCGTTATGACAATATCATACGTATCACATATTGTTACATTATTAGTAAAAAAAATCAATGTAATGCCCTGTATTTTAACTGTACAAGCCTCGTGATAACTGCGGGTCAGCTACGATTATTGTGATCTATGTCGTGGATGAATAGCCAGCTGTCTGGGAAGTTTCTTTATTATGCCTTCTTAATGTGAAGTAGTCAGGTCCTAACCCGATCACTTGTGGACAGAGTACCAAACTAATGAGGTTGGGACGGATAATGTAAACTAATGTGAGCCAGTGCTGTAAACGTGGTTTCATTTATTCATCATATGCACTTTCGTAGCTAGTGATCGCGTGGTCACCGACGTAAACCAAATAGACAAGCTATCGCTCATGCTGAATCAACCTGATACGTTCTGATCTGCGTTCTAATCTTGTTGGAATAAATTATGCTTCCAATGCTTATCATTACAACTCAGCTCGGTGAATTTTCATTTACAGATTATCGTAGGAATCAAGTCACCACGTCTGGCTTCCGAAACACGCATTAAGTGCACACACACACACACACGTTCGCCACTCAACAGTCTGCATTTCGTTTGGAAAATGGGAGTTTGATAACTGTTTCCTGAATTATTTCGAATAGCTGTCTTTCATTCAACCTGTCGACATGGCCACATTGCTTAGTTCATTTAAGTTCATTTTGCTATTTCTTTATGAGTTGTCAAGCCTGCAGAGGGTTGTTATACCCCCAAATGTTGATTGTTTGTTTTCTCATCATTCACCACCGTGTCGTTTGGTGTAGCACGTATTGAGATGAGTTTTTCCCCTTGAAACTTTAGGTGGTTTTCTCAGTGTCAATTCGTTTGGGGCTATATTTTAGTGGTCCATGTATGGACATATGCTAAGTTTATCCCAGTCATGTATGCTCATTTGGCATTTCTTTTCACTGTACTTGCAAGGCGTTTTGGTGACACAGAATAACGGAATCGCATGTATTTCTTACTCCCATTCGCAGGAAGAACCAACGAAGAAGGCGACCGATGATCAATTGTGTAACACTGGTTCACGTAGATCCTCGGCGAAATCTAACTACCAACAGTATGTGTCGTCGGACTTGTTTACTGCGAGAAAACCAAAACGAGGTCCTACCCACACAGTACGCCTGTCAGAAATCGCGATTATTCAGTTCAGTATTCAGTATAGGGACGGTGGAGTCAACTTTCGTTATTTTCTCGCAGAAAATTGCGTCGTAGAAGAAACGGAACGGTGGGAAGAAATGAATGATGCTTGGTTAAATCAGGAGACTGAACATGACAGGTATGAGTTTCACCAAGAAGCGCATTTGTTTCCGTGGGAGGTGGAAATATCTGAACCACAGCGAAGTTCACTTGTAGAAAACGAGTCTGTTGGGCAGCACAACACCCTTGCCAGTCCTAATTGCATCGTTAAAACTAATGACCACTCGGAAATTCACACACTTTACAGCAAAGACTCTCAGCTGTTGAAGACACTCAGCCCAAAATACTGGTTTTTCTACCAAACACGGTGGCCGTTTTATCTTAGCCCAGGCAGTCGTTTGTTCAGCAGTTTGCTCTACGTAGATTGGCCATCCACGTGCAGCTACGCCTCGGCGGGTCAGCTGTTCAAGGATGTTTCCCGTCTGTTGGAAAACCACAGGTGGAGCGAATTTAGTCAGCTGTTACTTTTTGATCCTCTGGTAAGTCATTGACAGTTCATTCGGTTTCTGCTATGAATAGAGTGTGGTGCTGAAAGTATGAGCACACTTGTCCAGAGTTTTTCGGGAGTCGAGTGTTTCCAGTTGATGTAGAAGAACATCGTTATGCGTTATACACAAAGTCACAGCGGTCCGGCGATGACAATAGTTGTGCACATTTCTCGACCACTGACACCAGACGCCTCCCTGGAGTATATTGTAGACCACCAGAGACACCAGCAGGTATAATCTGGTTTATAGGCGTCTGGCCCGGCTTTTCAACGGACACGGTGAAACGTATACATATGGATTGGCCAATTCGTTCGTGATTGACTGTCTGGTCTGACATATCGGTAATTGGTCCCTCTTTGACTACAATGTCACTCCACCCACCCATGTGATTGGGCCTGTCGTCAGGTCCCATGTTACCATGGTCACGCTCAGACAGTTAGTTCTAGGTCTGCTGCCGCATCCGGAATAAATTCACCGGTTCGATCAAGCAGTAAATTGAATATGTCCATGGACTAGGCAATAATCATCCTCTGGGTGATAATAGGCATACACTCTTTGTTTTCCGGTCGTCAAAACCTGCCATCCACTCCAATTCATACGAATTCACTCTCTCAGTCAGGACATGTATGCTAGCAGGGACAATCAAATAAGTGACTGGGCGTCGGCCGATGCAATTCATGCCAAAACTAGGAAAACCGGATGATGGATCATCCCACTGAAATTTCGATGGACGTCTGTTTCTTACCTTGGATTTGACAATCTCTTTTAAGGAATTCAGACAACATTTATGTATGGAATGAGCATTTGTATTTCTGTAAAATTGCTGTTGACTAAAAATTTGCTGGAAGCTTCCCACTGTTCTCCAGGTTTTGTTTCTCAAATAGAATAATAGACAGTAGTACAGGTTGAAAACTTTTATTCGTAAATATACTCTCTTAGCTCTACCTTGGGTTCTGCTGTTAAAGTTTTTAACTGACTTTAATCGGTTATTACCATCCAACCGTGAACTAAACGCGTTAGCTCAGCAAGTCATCAACTGCAGCATATATGCTTTGCGCAGATGTACAACGTCATCAGTGACTCTCCCATTGGCGCATACAAAGACTTCTCCTGTGTTGGTTGACTTACGGTCTTGTGACCTACAAGCCAGATATGGTTCAACGAACAACCGTTTTTAGTTCGTTGTTGTATTCTCCAATGTTTGTCGGAGTTCGGAACAAACGTAACCCACCATTTTCACACAACTATGTATTCTGGCCACACCTCAACCCAGTAGAAATTTCTTACTTTGTTTCTCCAGGAGTAATTTCGTCCTTTAGAGATGGCAGTAAACCCGACAAAAATCCATAAACTAAGGGAAATCCACAGATTCTAAGGGTTCAATCGGAATTCAGAGCGGCACGATTTATGGAACGTGAATCAACACCTTAGCGATCTGGAGTTTTACGCCCCTCCATATGTGTATTCGTGAATTACGCCCATTGGCGCACTAATTGGGTTTGAATGGGAGTTGCGGTTGAATCCTCGTAAAATCCATCCTTCATAATATGTTTCAACTGAATGTGCTACACGAAGGCCGCCTAGTTCATCGTATGGTATCGCGATATATTTTCTTGACAAATCACTATAGTTTACTGAAAACTTCGACAGCTCATGACCGGTTTCGTCTGTGACCATCAGGCATAGCCCCCGGTTTCCCATCAGGAATCTTTACTGCGTTATCTCAAATATCTCACCAACAGAAACATCGGACGGCATTTTATAGCACATTCAGTCGTAGAAGAACGCCAGAAACGAGAGTTTCCCCTGTATTCACTGGAGCCTCGCGTTACAACCAAAATAAGTGTGCATATAAATGCATTGCTTGAACTGCGTATAATTGCGGTTCAAGTAAAATACAAGTTTGATGGAAACCTGCGGAATGCGCCTCATTGATGCGTGCCGGGGTGGGTGAAACCGGTCCTGGGCTATTGGCGGGTCTTCAGTAACCTCATAAGCAATTTTCTGTTTAGTCACTGAAAAGCTTGAAGGTAGGTCGTCGATGTCGGAGTCTACAATCTTATCCAATCGGCCACCTGGACGGAAGCTGCGTCCATCTTAACTGAATTTCAAAGAATTAGATTTATTCCACTCCAAAATTATTTTGCCTAACGTCACATTGTGAAATTAGCCTCTTCTCAGTTCTACTTTTTCGGCCCTTATGCCCTGCTGTTATTGATCGTACAATAGCCGTTGATTGTCCTTCTATGTTTGAGTTCAATTTTCGACTTTTCGATTTACCGAATGCCAGTAGAACCAAGGCCCAACTAAGTGATCTTTCTTATTACTGCAGGTAAACCTCATTCATACCATTGTGTAGCTAAAGTCTCCCGTGGTTGTTACGACTCGACAGATTAGGGGAGACTGTTGAAAGGCGCAGTTACGAAAAATGCCATTCAAATGGTCTAACGAACGACAGCAGTGGACACTTCTCTGGCACGTGTTTTTGCGGAAAGCCAACCCACTGCGTGACGACGCGAAGTTTTAAGTGTTTGATAAGTTTTTATATGCCTTAAGTTGTGATTTCACTCTGCCATGTGCATCTGTGACTGACTTATCATTCCGGTAAATTTTCTCTAATGAACAAGGCGGAAACTGGAAGGGAACCACAGTTTCAGTTAATAAATGCCAATAAACTCATCGAATAGCTGCAAGTAGTCCCCCTTGAAGTGGCCACAAAATCTGCTGATGAGAGCTGGAGAGTTCCAATTTGTCTTGCACAATACATATCATGAAACAAATTATGCTCCAAGAAGGGCGAAACCGGTCGTGGGCTGTCGAAGAGTTTTCAACAACCTTATGAATAGTGTATTACGTCTAAACTATGCAAGCTTTCGCAAGTTCTATTCATTTCTCTTAAGCCTTGTACGCTTATGTCTGATTGCCGTCATACTTCGTTGAACAGAATGTTCCGAAGGCTCGTGTCCCAATAATAACGTCTCTTCAGGTTGTTATTGCAATAAATACTTAGTGAAGTGATATTGTTCTGCTTTAAGCGAATCCGTCTTCTGACTGTTGCTCTGCTGAGATTATCCCCGCCTTGAAGTGCAAAACGCAAAACACTATTTACAAAAGGGCTTGGAAACACGCTTTGGATGAAGTAGCACCGTTATTTCTCACATCGGGATCTCTCGGACAACAAGCATACGGACTGTTAGCTTTGGGGGGAGGTTACCAGTTTGAAGCACCAATAAAGGGTCGAACCGGAGTTGTAAAAAACTTAATCCACTACCGTATCAACGCAGTCACTCGGGCTCCTGGATTAGAAAATCATAATGACTGGCCATTCGTCTTTCAAATATAAACTTGCACAGTTCCAGAGGTTTCCAATCGGAACTGGCGAATATCGTATTTTTATTATTGCGCAGGTTAGTGTCGTTCAACGGAACATTCCATGCAAATATACATCAGCATCGATAGGTTTTGGGTAAACTAGGGGTTGTGACTTCAGTCTGCTTCTCCCGACAGCGGTTAAATTTGGTTTGATTAGGGACTACCAGAGCTTTAACCATCTTTCTTTGGAATCACTGTTCGGATTCCGAACACTAAACGATACGTCAAAAGGGATGAATTTGGGTGGCTCCCTTAACTTGGACTGACTTGTGATTCCATAAACTTTTCTGTAGGTATTTGCAGTATCAGTGCAAATTCCTCCTTTCCTGGAGCGTTTATTCTGTTCCGGTGCACACCGAAGAGTGGATGCACTAGTTTCGCTGCCAGCAGGCCTTGCAGACACCCCAGTTTGTTTGCCTTGTCCATATATGATTCCCAGATATCTTAAACACGAGCCAAGTGTGTCAGTATCCTACTTGCGCACGTCGCACATACCTAAATTGTCACATCTGAATAGGTTAGTGGGTTGACGGGTGAGTGGTACGAGGGAGGGCTGTCCAAACAAGAGTAGCAACTGAAACATGAGGTGGCCTTTGTGAGACACATTCAGCTGACAACTACCAGCAAAGTTTCCTGTGGAAGCCAAATTGATATGCAAGTGGGTGTATTTGTCCAAACCTGTCCATTTTCAATTCGATTAGAACATAAGATGACGGAGGCCCGGATAATCTCTACCTGACGAGCCCCAAGGAGGGCGAAGCCGGTCGTAGGCTGTCGAACAGTTTTCGGCAACCTGGTAACTAGTTTCCTTTATGAACTTAAATTTCTCTGTCCCTTTTTGCTCTCCCATAACATGATGATTTCATGGTCGTCTTTATCTTCTTCCATCTTAACTCCCTCTCCAGGCGCTTTCACCCACTTCGCCCATCATCAACCGGCTTGTTTTTAAACCCTGCGTGAAAAACGCAACGATCGGAGGTTTATCTGTTGACTGTGCAGACTGGATTTCACCCCTGCAAACAGTAACCCTAGATCTCGATCAGTGGGGTCTTCGCCACCGCATCCCAGGACAAACAAGCCTTTGTTTTATCGCATTTGTCCACAACTGGGTTGCCTATTTGTCTCGGTTGGAATTGCATCACTCATGCTTTGGTTACTCTAGACCGGGTACAACAGCGTTTTCTTTGGCACGAAGATTAACGGATCCTTTTGCTCTAACTGGTATTACACCGGCTCTTCTAACTTTTGGTCAAACCCCTCTTTTGGATGCATGGCCTTTGTGGTTAACGAAATCCTTACTTCGGCTTGCATTGCATGCAACTACGAAGCTTTTACAACTGTTAAACCCCTATTATTTTCAATGCACCACTTCAGCTGTGGCTGATAGAAAAGGGAAAACGGGACCGGAATTGGTATCTTACATTGCTTTCACAGATGTAGAAGATTTATAACAATGCGATGAAGTCTTTCATACCTTTCTAGAAGTAGCTTTACCTCCGTGTTTTCTATTTTTCCTACAAAGGTTCTCGAATCCATTTAAAAAAATTTTTTTTGTCATTCTGCTCTGTTTGCTGGGAGGTACTGATGCTTTTTGTCAGTCCCCTTGTCATACTGTATTTTTCAACTGCTATCTTGTGATCCTAGATTGTTCATTTGCATGCAGATCATAAGCAACCATTCACCTGAAACTGTACTACTTTCTTCTCGGAGAGGTTTGGTAAACGATGACTATCCAATCGGTCCCAAACATTTTCCAATTATTGTACTCTTCCTGTCCGTCAAACCCCTCTTTTGGATGCATGGCCTTTGTGGTTAACGAAATCCTTACTTCGGCTTGCATTGCATGCAACTACGAAGCTTTTACAACTGTTAAACCCCTATTATTTTCAATGCACCACTTCAGCTGTGGCTGATAGAAAAGGGAAAACGGGACCGGAATTGGTATCTTACATTGCTTTCACAGATGTAGAAGATTTATAACAATGCGATGAAGTCTTTCATACCTTTCTAGAAGTAGCTTTACCTCCGTGTTTTCTATTTTTCCTACAAAGGTTCTCGAATCCATTTAAAAAAATTTTTTTTGTCATTCTGCTCTGTTTGCTGGGAGGTACTGATGCTTTTTGTCAGTCCCCTTGTCATACTGTATTTTTCAACTGCTATCTTGTGATCCTAGATTGTTCATTTGCATGCAGATCATAAGCAACCATTCACCTGAAACTGTACTACTTTCTTCTCGGAGAGGTTTGGTAAACGATGACTATCCAATCGGTCCCAAACATTTTCCAATTATTGTACTACTTCCTGTCCATTCTGAATAGAGTTGCTGACTGCACATAAAGGTACCAGTTTGACTGGCACCAAAATAAGTCATCTACTTCCAATTTCGTTGGGTACTCTTTCGATATTACTCAGCTTGCAGTCTTCGTTGTAAGTTACACCAGTGAACTGTAGGAATTTATGCCTTCACAGCTGATGCATGCCGTTTTCGACTGTACTGAAGAAAATTGACTGTGTTCTCATGACTTATTTAGGTACATTAGAGGGATTCTGGCACTAAACACGAAGTTTCTCATCAGATGACTCAATGAATAATGTCTTGGCGTCTCGGCCATTCAGGTTTGTGGCTTGAATACTCATGGTCACCTGTTCCTTAATTTACTGTTCACATGGCTTTTGCCACTTACGGCTGTCTTGCACTGAAGTTTTCAACCAAGTGCTTTAGCTGACAGCAGGTTTGGCTGTCAGACAGACATTGGTTACACGGTTGCGTCATACGGTGGCGTCAGCATCCTGCACACAGCATGACAACTTAGCAGAAGCACACTGCTGCTGGTATCTCATTCCTATCATTGCTTAGTAGTTAGAGCGCGAATTTACTGACCGGAAAGTCCGTGGTTCGAATCCGACCTCTGCCTCTTGACTTCCCCTATCTAGGCTTGCGCAACCCGGCAGTATCCCAGCCATCGTGCCTCCTATGCGTGGCACGGCAATTAGGCACCGAAAGGGTACTACAGCTGAACGATTTTTCGTGTGTCCGATGGTTCCGTTTGTTAGCCAACTTCAGCACAGCAAACTCCATCTCCACACGGTTTCCAGCTCAACGTGGTGCTTTATACGTTCACATTCTGAGGTGAGCAAGATAATGCTCGCTCTTCCTCGTAGCTGAACCCGATTCCTAATGATGTTTGTTTAGCTGAAACTAAGATCTAAGTATATTTACTGCGTTGATTACTGTCTTACCGCTCCTGGTTGTTTATTTACGCACGACTGGATACTTGCTACTACAAGATCCCTCTGGTCGATAATGTTTAACTTTAGACGAATGAACCCTACTTGATAGTCGCTCGGCATAGTCTAGGCAAACCAAGGGCCGACCGATTTCCGTCATTAGTTTCTGTCTACACTCCGAGAAATGTCAGTATCAGTTTTTGCGGTTATTCATGTTTTGTTACCGCTGGCAAAGATTTCAGGTATCATTGTGTCTGCCAGACTATGTCTGAGCAGGCACACTCAGTACCACTAGGAATCGAACGGGCTCCGCACAGTAATGGACGCTTTTCTCACTTGTTTCCTGACCGCCGTTAGTTTTATTTGCAACTCGAAATAACTTAACTGGTTTGCCTAATTGTCCGATCACTAGATGCTTCAGCTGTTAAGGCGCAAAATTATCGATCGAAAGGTCCATGGTTCGAATCCGACCTCAACTGCTCTTGTCTAGGCTAGATTAACCTGGCGTCATCTCAACCTCGACCTGCACAGTAGCCAGACTCTGACACGATTATTATTACTGTCATACCCAACTGTCGTTGCCTAGCAACGATTAGCTGCCACATCAAATTCATTCGCCAGTGCTGATCCCCTTTATGCAACCACATAGATTCCTATCTTGCATTTGTATGTAAGCAGTTTAGTTGCTACTTTGGGGATGCACATAGCTCCCCTCTACTAGTAACTGTCACAGAAACAAATCCACTGACCTCATCTGCAGAAATCACTTATGTTTCACTTGTTCTTTGGAAAGTTCGGAAGTCTTCAAAATTGCGGTGTTCGATTTCCCATTGGTGAGAACTTTGTCTTTTCAGAATATTCGGATGAAGGTTTTTTCGGTTTTTGGAAGGATAGGTAACACAAGTCTTTTTAGGATGGCTGACGACAGTCATCACATTCGTCCGCTACCGATTTGTTCCCTTTTCGTCCGAAAATAGACTTTATGCTATTTTTTTTCGCAGAGGCGACTTCGCGAAGGCTGCGTTGGTGCTGACAGTAACTGAAGTAATACACCAGTGCAGGAGTCCGACAGACGCATTCTTCTCGCAACTTTGCTTCGCTCACGGCTTCTAAAAGGCAAATTATTGGGTAATAAGGGTCGTGCGCTTCGGACTACGGTGTGGATTGTGTTTACGAGATATCGGGGTATTGTATAGTTCATAGTTTGTGCTGTGGCATTAGAACGGGTATTGCTTGGTTCAGTTTATAGATCATTTCAGTACTGTATCGTACCTCACAGGTTCCCTTAGCATTCTCTTCAGCTACGCAAACCATTCACTGAAGAAATGTTATTTTGTCTTCAAAACGGTTTGAACTGAAAAGTGAGCAACATGGCTTAGCGTTGGATCACAGAGATTACGAATAGCCCGAATACTGTGGGTCTTTCGCGATAGGACCCATATTGTCCAACCGTTGGCTGACGATGCTGTCGGATATGACCTCGAGCTGATCGCATGGCATTCATGCTGTCACCTTCTGTTTGGAATCGCATGTTTGTTTCACGTTTCCCTAACATCTCTGTTAGACTATGTGGCTTCCCTAGATTCCCTAACAGTACATAGGTTGTTTGAGGTTTTGTCTTTGCTTGTTTAGGCATGACTGTAGTTTCTAGACCAAAATTACTGACTGTTGGTGGACGAACGTACAGATTCTCTTACGTCACTCATTTGGTAGTGCAAGAGACGAAACGGTTTGATCTTCAGTGCATGCTGAAGATATAACTTCGTATAAATTCTCCAATATGGTGAAATGGGGGCATTTAATGAAACTACTGGTTTGCGGTTTTTTCCGTCGGTACTGAAGGCGTAGGACTGGCAAACTTGCTTATCTAAATCCTAAGTTCCTTATGGAACAGAAGAAACTGGAGAGCAATGGTGAGCCGTAAGCGTGAAAGCGTTGCATCATTCTGAACCTCAGTTTTTTTTCGGAAATGTGATAATGGCAAGCTGGCACCAAACTAAATTCGGACATTTTGCTTATCAGCGGTTCTGTCGGACGCCGTTTAACTAATTCGTCTCTGGCGTTATTCAGGCTCTCAAATGTGTCGTGGAAGCATGGAAATATATGAGGCTCGCGGACACAAACTTCCGGTGTAACCACACTTGCGGAAGTGAATCATTAGCTCATGTGATCATGGGGTAATGGTTGCTAGCTTGGTCGTGTGATGCTACTGACTCCAATCACGTGAAGGACGAGGGAGATGTCAGCTGTGTCTATGGGCTTGCCTCATCTATAAGCTCTTACTTGCGGACGCCTTTTAGTAATCTATTTCACACCCTTCTACCAATCTCTCATTGTGGTTGATCAACTGTAGCGCAGCCCTTGTAGGTTTTCGAAGAGTTTATTTGTTGTTGGTACGATCCGTCTTCCAAGATGGGGTCCAGATTGTTTTATTTGGCGTTTGGAGTTGTAGGCATCTCAGAATTCTGTGGTTGTGTGGCAGTAAAGCATCAATATCGACTCTAGTGTTTATGTCTCTGGTGATAATATAGACGTTCCAAGCATCGAAGATGTCCGGCGCTCAACTGCTGCACACTCTGGGGCGCGAAAATCCCGCGCAAGTTTGCGAATCCCTGCAACCTACAGACCTGAGTTGGTTCCAACCATTATTTCAGATATAAAAACGGGCGTGACAGTGCTTGTCTTAAGTATCTCGCTTGTCTGCAAAATTCGCAGACTAATTCATCTCCTTTGAGTCGCTCGCGTAGGAAGTAAACGTTGGATCATGCTATCACGAGCAAATGGTCGGAATGATTCAAGTGTTAAGGTTACAGTGGACATACTATTGACCCAGTTGAGCCTGTCTATCTACCTGGTCATAAATTTACGTAAATACATTCCTTAAAATAAATTTTTAGTCTAAGCTTATTTGAGTGACTTCAGATATGAGAAAGACTGTTTCCACCGCTTTCACTTTAGTACTTCGCCTGTCAGCCTCACAGGGGAGCATGTGGTCACAAAAGTGGTTGTTTCCCGATTCGTACAAACAGGCCTGAACTTAGCTTCCACCTTCAAGACAAGGGCCAAGTTACAGTAATTGGCAAATACTAGAACAGCATTGGGTTTCGTCAGGTAAACTCGGCCACACTACCTCCGGTTTTTTATACTAGTTTGTCTCGCGACAGCTTCGTGGCTAGATATTCCCTCATTGTCTCTTCCAAAATCGAGGAAAGCTAATACCGCTTACCTCAGAGCAAGTCTATGAAGGTGCGCTGTCTCTATCATCCAGTCCGTCTGACCGATGTAAGTGATGCCAACCGTTCATCGCGTTGCCTCTTTCATAAACGCACTGACTGATTTACTCACACTGGAGTGTACCCATCTATCACTTGTAAAACTAGACAGCGGCGTTTGACTAATACACTCTTCTGCGTATTGATTTGGAGAGTCACCTGAAACCCTGCTGATTCTCTTGTTTGTGATATTCATAAGCAACGGAATGTACTGCATCAGGCCGCCTCATGTTTCGTTTGCT